TTTCCCCCCTCAATAAATAAAATGTTAAAAATATTTTAGGAGCACACATGCCAAAACACACATACAGAAAAAGTCTGTCATGTGTGGAATTCTTTCTTATGTACTCTGTGCACTAATAGTACTTTATGGTTCCTGTATTATGACTGTCCCAGTGTGCGTCTGTATGGTGAGTTATGTGCCTGTGTGCACATATACTGAGGCTTAAGCCCAGGGCCTCTTGAGCACATGCTCTGCTTCTAAGATAGGAGACCTCAAGCCCTTTTGTCCACTCTTACACTCCTGCCCTTCTGTCTTACCATGATTGATACTCAGCAATGTCTGTAATTTTTTCAAGATTTGGGAGTGAATGTTTTACCTGTTTATTTTTCCAAGTGACCCAAGTATTTTATGTCCTATTTCAAAAAGATTCTCAATGTAGTGCTTGTCAGAAAATGCTTAATTCTTAAATTATACTGTCAATAACTGCAATTGTATGGTAACTAGATGCATTATCTGTTTGTATCAAGATGTGTGTCCTGTATGTATGTAGCCTTTGATATGTTCAGGATACTAGCTAAATATGGTTGAGTGAATGAATCAATTGGTATACCTGAGCTTATTACCTCACATTAATGTTTTCTGCATTCACCCATTTGGTCCTACAAATTCTGTGTGGATGTTATTTCTTTGTCATTATAGTTTTTTCCTTTAATTTTCTAATTATTTTGACCAACATATGAAGAAATCATTTATGTCTTCATATTTATTTTGTTGTTAAAGTTGTTTCTCAAAAATGTTCACAAGGTATGTTTTCAATAAGCAATTATTTTATCTGTTTAGACTAAGACTTTAGTTTCTTATTTCCTTAAATAGTTATCTGTTTATATGTTTTGTTCTAGAGTATCCCAAATGATGGGATTTTTAAAATTTAAATAAATTGATTTTTTTCTTTTTCTCCCCTTTCCCCTCGTTGTTATTTTTTATTTAAATTGTTTTAGATTTTTGTATATGGCTCTTTTGCATGCAGGTATGTATGTGTATCATACATGTGTCTAGTGCCCAAAGTTCAGAAGAGGGTATCAGATTCCCTGGAACCGTAGTTATGAATGGTTGTGAGCCACTGTGTTGGTTCTGGGATCCAAACCTAGCCCTTCTGCAAGAGCAACAAGTGCTCTTAACCTCTGGGACATCTTTACAGCATCTGATGTGCTACATGTGCGCATGTGTGGATGTGTGTGTGGATGCGTGTGTACATGTGTGCCTTAGCACATTTGTGGAAGTCCGAGAACAACTGCATGAAATTGGTTCTCTCCTTCCACCCTTGCCTGGGTTCCAGGGATCAAGCTTAGGTCTCTCGGCTTGCACACAAAACCTCTTTACCTATTGAATCTTTCTCCCTAGCCCCAAGTATTGTTTTCCAAGTTGGCTAATGGTGGACGTCACTCACTCTTTGATGTGCAACTGATATTTGCAGTTGCTTATCCTCCTCAGGGGCTTTCATGATGCTCTAGTCCTGTGCCAGTTGTACCCAAATGGGTGTCTGTGCAGCATAACTAATGTCAAATAGGTCTTTCTTTCTCCACTTAAAAATGAAACCAAACAAACAAAAGTGTTGTTTTTCACCAACATGATGTAAGCTAGTGGTTTACTATTTGTGGATAATGTTTACTTATTTATTTACTTATTTAGAGATAGTGTTTCTCTATTTAACCCTGTCTGTCCTGGAACTCACTATATAGACCAGGCTGGCCTCAAACTCACTGCAATACACCTGCCTCTGCCTTCCAAGTTGCCAGGATTAAAGGTGTGTGCCATTACATGGGCTTTTCATTTTTTTTTAATACATAATTTTTAAAGTATAATCTTCTGAATGATTTTAGGTGTCTCTTCTCTGACTTTTTTTGGTATCCTTTAAAGGAATTTGTTGTTGATTCATAGCATCATCATACAGGATTATTTATAACACATGTGAATGCCAAGACACTGTTAAAACTTTATGTGAATTATGTCATTTAATTTTCGAGAAAAAAAAAAAAGCAACACTATTTCGTCAACCCATTTCATAGATGAGGAGAAGGAGTTAGAACAATAAAGTATTTTGTTGGTTGTACTGCTAAATGATAGAAGTGAGTTTCTTACAAAATTAGAACAAAGCCTCAGGGATGTATGTATAGATGTCTATAGACTAGAGACTCTTTGACTTGGGATGGACTTATATCTCAATAAAAATCTTTGTTGGTTGATGATATCCTAAGTTGAAAATGTGTTTAATACACTTACTTTAGATATGCTTAGAACTCTTATATTACTTTATAATTGGCCAAATCATTTAACAAAAAAAGTGATAAATCATCATACATACTGACATATACCTACATGTATTTATACACATGAGCTCTAGGAAGAGATACAAGTAACAACATTTTAAAATATTTAGGGAGTAGTAATGCATTGGAAAACTAGCCCTTTTTGAGCCCTCTTTGATTAGTAATGATACAAATATAATTTCCTTAGAGGGGAAGTATTATCTAATTACTTTAAGGCTAGATAATACCTCTTCCTAAGACATAGTCAGTGTAGTTGACATATGTTGTACTTGTAAATTTACCAAGTTTTTCCTCTGCATTTTGCAGGCATGTCAGTCAGGATGATATAATCCATGGATGCTGCTAATATTATACTCCATAATTATACTTTCTTGTTATTGTACCCATAGGAACTCTAAGATGTTTGCCATCCACAATGTAGAGGTTAGTTCTGAAGATTCTGGTCTTGTGAAACTCAGTGTGTCTCTTGAAAAAACCAAAACAGGGTTGGGGATTTAACTCAGTGGTAGAGCGCTTGCCTAGCAAGTGCAAGGCCCTGGATTCAGTCCTCAGCTCTGCGGGGGGAAAAGACCAAAAAAAAAAAAAAAAAAAAAAAGCAAACCACATAGAGCAGGCACTATCTAAGCAGTTAGCCTCTGTCAGGGACAGTGAAGATTGTTTTGGAAGGGAGAGCAACAGCATGCCCATTTGAAGAGGTAATACATTTTAAAAATCATTTTAAGGGGCTTTTCTTCATAATGAGATTACTTAATATAGTGAGACAAGTTTATAGAGGCAGAAAAATATTCAAAAGCTACTGTAGAGACAATATAAGGAAGGATTTTTATTGAAATATACCTGTAATTTTCTATAAGCGTAAGCCTTCTTAGAAAGAGAGAGAGAGAGAGAGAGAGAGAGAGAGAGAGAGAGAGAGAGAGAGAGAGAGAGAAAGAAAGAAAGAAAGAAAGAAGAAAAGAAGAGAAAAGTTTTAGGACAGGCATGGTGATGCTTGCCTTTAATCCTAGCACTTGGAGGCAGAGGCAGGTGGATCTTTGGGAATTGGAAGCCAGCCTGGTCTAGCCTACATAAGGAGTTCCAAGCTGGCCAGTGCTACATAGTGAGACCCTGTCTCAATACAACAACAATGAAAAAAGGTATGGAGAAGAGTTCAGTTACTGTTGTTACTTTCCTTTCTGAATGGAAATGTCCTTAAGTGGCTGAGGAGATGGTTCATTGGCTAAGAATCCTTGCTTGTCAATGAAGCAAGACAACTGAAGTTGGAGTCCCCAGCACCCATTAAAAAAACCAGGCATGGCTGCATGGGCCTGTAAGCCCTGGCTAGCATTGCAGTTTGGGTGGGAATAGACAAATCCCTGAGAGCTCATTGGCCACCTAGCTTAGTCAAAATGACAAGCTTTTGTTCCATGAGAAACCATGTCTCAAGCCAGTAAAGCAAAGAACAATGGAGGAAGAGAAAGGTTAACAAATGTGTCCAGTCTCACATGCACACAACCCATACATACAAACAGGGCAGGATGCAGTTGTAGTCTTCTTCTAGGAAAGAAGATTATCTGAATTTTTTTAATAATTTTAGGAAAAAGCATACCAAGTTACTTTTGTACTCTCCCCATATTTAGAAATGCTTGAAGTTAGATTCTTCTTTGTATCTCACCAAGTGAGTGCCTTTTTTGTAGCTTACCCACCCTGGATGTGGTGTTTCTATTTTAATTTAGCCTACGTGTAGGCTTCCTTTGTTGATCCTCAGCTGTTAGGTTTGTTACTATTCATAAAGTGAAGTACTTTCCTATTTTGCCCAAAATTATCAATATTTTATTCTAGTTGGATTCCAGTGCAGTGAATGTGGAATATCAAATATGTCCCCTGCCCAGCCTTGTCGTTAGTCCACTTTATTGTGGCACCAAAGGAATCCCACTCACTCCTTCCTTCCCTCCATCCCACAGGCTCCCTCAGAATGACCCAAACTGTTAGACTCCATGGTTTGAACCACAAACTAATCTTACTTTAATTTGGTAGATCAGATTATAATTTCTGATTTTATAAAAGATAAATTTCTCCTATAATAGTAAATATTTAATTTTGATTAATAGTCTATTAAATATGCACGAAAACTCTTTAACAAGTTCTTAAACTAAAACTTTTTATCCTTTTGTTTTTAATACTTTTCTTACATGCAAAACAAAGTTAAATTTTCCTTGTTAAAATGCAAAGCCAAGTGTCTCCTAGTCTTTTGAAGAGCATTTGTCCATTATATAATTTGTAAAGTAGCCAGGAGTTCCTCAGAAGCAGGACATCATTTAGATTGAAAACAATTCTGGCTTGTGTGTAAAATAATGATGTGGTGTAACCATTTACAGAGTGGCAGCCTTGGTTTTACTTTAGTGGTGAAATCCTTGAGTGTCCCACATTTCATCCACCTTAAAGGCCTTATCAGAATTCCCTAGAGCAGAAATTGTTAGTTCATCTCGATTCTGCTAAATAGATTATTATGATAATGTCTAGACAGCCAAGCGACACAGCTATGAGCATAGACATTTTATTTTTTTCCCAGACATTGACAGTGTAAACATACATAAAATACATATTAAAGTTTAGATGCTTTTTGTGTTTTGTGCAATAAGTTGAAGCCTTAAAAAGGAAACATTTCATTTAAAAAAAAGTCATTAGTTTTACTTAAGACAGTAAAATAGCAGCAAGTACCAAGACATTGTGCACTTCTTTTAATTAAGACAAGTTACTTCATTTACATCAAACTCAGAAATACAAGACTGGCTTTCTTGAATACATAATATAGCTTGAATCACTGGTTAGATAGGGGCATATTTTCCCAACTATACATCAGAAAGGAAGGCTTCCCTTAGTTTCAGAAACTGCTGACCCTCAACTAGCCAGCATGACTACAGCATTGAGCATAAAGAGAAGTGAAACATTTACTTTCCAAGTACTAGCCACAGAAGGTAACTGGGTCTTTACATTTGCAGTGGTTTCTTCCCTCCGTAAGTTGAGGGTTGTGCTTTGTTGAGGATTTTCAGAGAAGTTATTTGGCATGCCACTAGTGATACTTAGGGTCATGGGTGTTGGGGATGACTTGGTTGCACTAGTGAGGCTTGTGTTTGACATCATTCCATCTTGAAGGTGAATAGTAAGAGTTGCAGCTGCTGCTTCATGTGAATTGGTCATTTCTGTGGCTGTGTCTTCTGGATAGGGCACCAAAGCCTTATCAGTGCTAGTAAAAGTAGTATCTCTGCTTAGTGTGACACCAAATGTAGTTTCCTTTCCTCGATAGTGTTTGGGTATTTTGGTCACTTTGGGTTGAGTTACCATACTCAAAGAGTTAATGGTGTCCACAGTCTGCATCCCACTGATAGTAAATAAGCTTGTGGTAAATCCAGGAGGTGTGGGGTACATGCTCTGTTCCTTCAGAGAAGATACTTGGTCAGAACAAGGAGTCCCTATCACATGGGCTTTTGTTTCCATTATCCACTTCAGTAAGTAAGTAATGTTTTGTTTATGGTCACATGACCACCTGTTATTATGAAGCGTTATTTCTTGCAGCTGCAAGAGTTGGTCAAAAGACTGATCTGGAATGAATGTGAATTTATTGTTGTGTAGGTAAAGATGTGTGAGATTTGTCAGGTTTATTAATGTCCCTGGAAGGATTTGTGTCAGTGAGTTATTAGACAGGTCCACAATATGTAGTTTGGAAGGCATGTTGGTTGGAACTGTCCAAAGTTTGTTACTGCTGAGGTTCAGAACCTCAAGACTTCTTAGGGTATTTTTAATAAGAACAACTTTTTCCAGCATATTCTTAGAAACATCCAGGTATTTAAGGTTCCACTGATAAGCAGTATCAGATTTGTCAAGAAGTTTAATGTTGTTGTTAGCAGCAGACATGTTCCAGAGAGACCGAGGTAACTGAGCAGGCAGACTTTCAAGCCTGTTGTTTGAAATATCCAGGGTCCTCAGATTGGTATATTGGGTTAACTGGTTATGCAGATCAGTAAAGTGGTTATAAGACAAGTTTAAATATATAATGTTCTCTTGCAGTCCAGGTGGTAATGTAGTCAAGTTTCTGCCTGAACAGTCCACATGCCTGTGCCTCTCTGTGCATATACATTGGAGAGGACAAATGCATAAAATGCCAGGCGTGAGAAACAGAAGGATGAACAGGCAGGAAGACATTTTCAGTATCTGATATTCCATCAAAGCCTGAAAACAAACAGATACATCCTTCTTTTAATATGCAAATACACTTTCAGCATCTGCATGGGTCAGTTAGCATTCGCCAAAATTTTCAATAAACCTCCTTGTTGTTGAGTCCTTTTATAATTGTTCCAGTGATTAAACTAACAAAGCTGCCCTTCATTTATAGTCCAAATGCCTAATCCTTCAATTGGGGCTATGTGGTAGTTGGGGGTGGGGGGATTGAGGGAGAGAGACCGAGAAAAAAAAAAAAAGAGACAGAGGCAGAGAGAGAGAGAGAGAGAGAGAGAGAGAGAGAGGCTCTCCTGCATTTTATTCCTTATTTTTATTCCTTACCATATTTGTTCTGATTTATCTTCTCAAAGCCGTAATAGGAAGAATAGCATTGTCTATAAATGAGGAGCTTTATAGTCTTACTTAGGCTGTTACTATTTTTGATAATATGTTTTCTTATTCAGAAAAAAAATGGCTGTCGTATCTGTTTTTCTTAAATCTCTGCAGTACTGTAAGACAATATGTGTGTAGTTTGAGATGTTAAAACAGTTATATTAAAACAATTTTTTTGAAATTTTATCTTTTCATAGATAACTACATCCTGGTAAAACATTTTTAATGAACTCAGAAAAATCAAGACTGATAGCATACCTTTAAACCTCACGTTTTGTAAAGTAATTTTTTCCCCAGTATATTTCAGTACCGATTCTAAAGGAAAACTGATATATGTATTTACAAGTGAGTGGACATTAGAAAGAAAAGCTCAACTGTTACTGCAGCAGATTTTGGTGCATGCACTTGTTATTGAATATCTTCAATCCTAACATTGGCTTAAAAAACAAACAAACGAAAGACAAGGGTAAAAATCCAAAGTCAGTCTTTTACCAATTTAAGTAGCTGCTTACCATCATGTCGTCTTCAACATCAGCATCTCGTTTTCTCCGGGAAACTTGAGGCTTAAAGGTCGGCTTGTTCTGGAGAGTCAGAAGGGTTTCTGTCTGTGGGCTGTGCTTGCCTGCTCAGCTGCATTGTGTTGCTGTGAGCTGAAGCTCTGCAACCACCTGATCAGCACCACATAGGAGGACTGCAGGGCTGTCATTGGTGCTGACTCAAATTTATTGCAAGAGGTGCATACGCAACAAAATGGACATTTCTTTTCATCACAGGCCTGAAAATACCTTACATCGCTGCAGTCTGCTCCTGGGTGGGGGCTTCATGCAGATTAGGGCTTGCCTTTACCTCTTCCTATGTATTTCTCCGAGCTTGGCTTGCACATTTAACATTTCCTTGCTGTAATTCTTGTTAAAGCCTCTACATTCTTTTTGTGTGTGGAAATGTTGAAAATGGAATTAACCTTCTTTGTGAATTGATTTCTAGGATACTAATTGAACTGTTTTTAATCTGTGCATTTTTGTTCTTTTCAAAAATGGTTCAATTGTCATGTAACATTTTTATATGTCATGATAAAATCTTGATTTTTATGTCTTCATCATGCTTATTATTATAATACTTAATTAGCTTTTCAAATTTATCAACCACTTACATGTTTCATCTTACCTTTTAGGGAGCGCAGGAATTCTTCCATATGATTATTTTGTTTTTGCCTTCCTAATAGAAAGGATCATGTGACTAATGCTACCCACAAGCCAGCTACATGTCCCCATTCCTCATGCCCTCCCACCTTTCCTTGGTGCTGGGGTCAAATCCAAGATAAGCCACATTTAAAATGAGGATGCTAGCTAGACTTTAAACAAACAAACAAACACAACAAAACAGGCTCTCACTGTGGATCCCTGGTTAGCATGGAACTCACAGAGCTCTGCCTGATTCTGCCTCTCAGTGCTAGGATTAAAGGTGTGCATCACCACCCCCGACAGATACTAGGTTATTTTTTTCCTCCCCAATACCTGACTTAGTTATCTGTTCAGATGATAAAATGATAATATATTTTATATATTTGAGTTAGATGGAGGTTTTGTTTTGTTTGTTTTTCCCAGGAAAATTGCTTTGGATGGTATGAATAGAATATTGCTTTCTCCAGAGGTATTGTTGGGACTGTACAAAAGACCATTAATTCGATTTATTTTATAACTAACAGTTTCAAAGCTGGAGAGGCAGCACAGACCTGTAATCCCAGCATTCAGGAGGTGGAGGCAGGAAGACAGGAGTTCAAGACCAGCCTAGAATAGATGAGACCCTGTCTCAAAATATAAAATAAAACCAATACTTTCTAATTATTTATTTACTCAGTGTTTCATATTTATATTTTATCTTTCCCAGAAAGTTAATAGGTTTTAAAATATATGCAACAATGTTTGTAAAAGCTAGAACCATAATCAAGAATTTTGTAAAATGAGATTAAATCTATGGTATCTTAGGTAGACTGATTATATAAATAATCAGTTAAAATTTAAATCTAATTTACAAAATGACCATTTTACTTTAGAAAAGAAAATGAGAAAAATTGTGATATTTATTTTCAAATTGTCACCATTTTAAAACCAGCAGTTATTATCATATTACATAAAAATACGTAGGTACTAAGTAGTTTGTGTCCCCTCCCTAAATTCTGTGAACTGTTATTTGTATCTAGAAAGAAACTGATTGTATTGAAATCTATAGCTTATCCTCTTAGAGCCATCTTTTAGATAAAACTAGTGTTCCTCGAAAAGGATCTATGCTTCAAAAATCTGCATCATTAGAGGTTGGTATCGATTGATTCAGTGTTTTATTGCCACTTCACTTTGAGTCTCCATTTGGACTTTAGATTCTTTGTATGGATTTCAGGATCTACTCATCAGTCGTGATCCTTAACAGTAATGTTTGAAATCCTGCATTCAGCAGTGCTGTGCTTTTGACAGCATTCCTGTTAGCTCGTGTACCCACCACTGCACTTCCAGGGAAAAGACTAGGATGAATTTGCCAAACCCTAAAATCTCTCTTTGGAAGACACGTTGTGCCATTATAGAAGTGGAATTGCCTATTCTACTTACACTGACCAGTACTTTGATTTGAAAGAGAATGTCAGGTCATAAATTAGTTAATGGGTTCAAAATTAATTTAACTTTAAGTCTGTATTAATGACTCTGCTGGCACTGAGACAGAACACCTGACAGAAGCGACTGAAGGAAGGAAGCATTTGTTCTGGTCACATCATCAGGGGAGACCTGGGGACGGGAGTGGCTCGGTCAGTGTCACGGCATCAGGTCGTATCCAGTGGCAGATAGGAAGCAGAATCCAGATCAGAAGCAGGAGAAGCAGAACCAAGCTATAACCCTCAAAGCCCACCCTTAGTGGCCTTGAGACCAGCAGCTGACCCCATGCTCCAAGGGTGTTATAACCTCTCCCTCAGCACTGCCAACAGTAGTCCAAGTGTTCAAGCACATTAGGATTGGATTCTGCTGTGCAAACAATAATGTTTTTCATTTCATATTTACTTCATATTAGAGATGACTGTGGCTTCTCTGAGAGAAAAGGGGTTGTCACTTCAATGTTAATTAAATACAGCAATCTCACACTGTTAAAGATTCTCAGAAAATTAGATAGTAAATTACTCTGTTTGTTTGTTTTTTGAGACATGGTCTCTTTTTTATGTAGCCCTGCCTGTCCTGGAACCCAGTCCTGTAGACCAGGCTGTCTACTTGCTTCTGCCTCCCAAGTGCTGGGATTAAAGGTGTGCACCACCATACCTGGCAAGAAGAGTAATTTTTTAAAAAAACAAGTATTTGTTAAAACTTATCTTAGATGCTATACAGAAGCTTTAGTTACACTTTAGATAAATTCACCAACACCACAAACTGTATCTATTTAGGCAACTGATTTAGACTAAGAATTAAATTAGTTGACATATCTTTTGTGTCCAAGGATATATTGCTCCAGCATTGTAAAAGATCCAGCAAACCACCTGCCAGGTAGTAACCATCCCATTTTAGTCAACAGCTCCAGTTTTCCTTTATTCTTGAATTGGTAACATTGATTGTTCCCAGTAATTGTGAGCCAAAGTACTGTCATTGATGCAGGTTCTACATACCATTTCTTTTCTTTTTCTTTTTTTTTTTTTAGATTTATTTATTTTATTATTTTATGTGTATGAATGTTTTACATATATGTATGTCTATTCATCACATGTGTGTGCCTTCTTGACTAAGATCAAGAAGAGGACATTAGATCCCCTGGAGTTTCAAAAAGGTTGTGAGATGCTATCTGATCCTGGGAATCAAACCCTGGAAGCTAGGTCCCCTCGAAGAGCAACAATACAAATGTTTGGTTTTGGTTGTTTTATTTTTTGGTTTCTTGAGACAGTTTTTTTGTGTAGTATGGCTGTCCTAGAACTTGCTCTGTAGACCAGTGCTGTGGATATCATTCTATATAAATAAAACACTGATGGCCACACTGATGGCCAGTGACCAGGCAGGAAGTAGGTGGCCAGGCAGGAAGTAGGTGGGACAAGGAGAGAGGAGAATTCTGGGAAGCGGAAGGCTGAAGAAGAGACACTGCAGCCACCGCCAGGACAAGCAGCATGTAGAGACTCTGGTAAGCCACCAGCCACGTGGCAAGGTATAGATTTATAAAAATGGGTTAATTTAAGATAAAAGAACAGTTAGCAAGAAGCCTACCACGGCCATACAGTTTATAAGTGATATAAGCGTCTGAGTGATTATTTTATAAGTGGATTGTGGGACTGTGGGGCTTGGGGAACCTGGAGAGAAGCCCTCCAGCAACAGACCAGGCTGTCCTCGAACTCATAGATCCACCAGCCTCTGCCTCCCGAGGGCTTGGATTAAAGATAGGTGCCACCACTGCCCCAGCTTGTAACAAATGTTTTTAACCACTGAGCCATCTCTCTGCCCTTCAGCAACCCCTTCTTAAAATGCTTGAGACCAGAAGTTGTAGTCAGAAGTTTTCCTGTGTGCTGCCCAGTCCAAGGTCCTGCAGCTGCTTATAAATAATCACTCAGAGGCTTAGTATTATTTATAACTGCTTGGCCATTAGCTCAGGCTTATTACTGACTAGCTCTTACACTTAAATTAACCCATAATTCTTATCTATAGTTAACCATGTGGCTTGGTACCTTTTCTCAGTTCTGTGTTGTCATCTTGCTTCCTCTGTGTCTAGCTCACAACTCCTCATTCCACCCTTCTTTTCCCAGCATTCTTTTAGTCTACTCGCCCCTCCTTTACTTCCTGCCTGGCTACTGGCCAGTCAGCGTTTTATTAAACCAGTGTACAAGAGCATTATCCCACAGCAAGAAGTATTTTCAAGCTTGGAATTTTTAAGATATGTATACACATACATATATATACATGTCCATCGACCTTCCTTTGGGTGAAGACCTGGGCTCCCCAAAATTTTTGAGCACTCAGAGTATTTTAAATTTTTTTTTTTTTTTTTTTTTTTTTGGTTTTTCAAGACAGGGTTTCTCTGTGCAGCTTTGCGCCTTTCCTGGAACTCACTTGGTAGCCCAGGCTGGCCTCGAACTCACAGAGATCCGCCTGACTCTGCCTCCCGAGTGCTGGGATTAAAGGCGTGCGCCACCACCGCCCGGCGAGTATTTTAAATTTTTTGATTAGGATTGAATAGTCTATAATACAGTTAACTTTGGACTGAATTCCCTGCTGACAACAAATAAGAATATGGAATAAAATATTTTTAAAGCATAGAAGTACTGACAGAACAGAATTATATAAACATTCAATTATATCACTGTTTACCAGCCACCTCCTCAACTCCCCACCCCCCCACCTCCCCACCCCCCCCACCCCCGCCTTGGTTTTTGGTTTTTAGTTTTTAGTTTTCTCAAGATAGGGGTTCTCTGTGTAACAGTCCTAACTGTCCTGGAACTGTCTTTATAGACCAGACTGGCCTTGAACTCACAGAGATCTGCCTGCCTCTGCCTCCCAAGTACTGGGATTAAAAGTGTGCGCCACTACTGCCTGGCTATCTTTTGACTTTTTAATGCTGAGTTATATTTTGGTTTTGATTTTTGAAAAATTTTATATAATTGGGTTTTTGTTTTCTTTTGTTGCTTCTAGACTTTGAGTCTCAACTAGGAAGATGTTTTCCCATGTTCAGTGTATACAGGAATTCAGCAGCATTTTCTTGTATCATATCAACTTCATGCTTTCTATTTAGATCTTCTGTCTACTTGGTTTTATTCTAATGTAGTGTAAAATGTGAATCCAATTTTCTTTTTTCAGCTATCGAGTTGTCCCAGCACTTCCTCCTACTGACTTGGTTTTTTGAGTTTATCTCTGAACAGTCTGTTCTATTTCACTGGTCTGTTCATACATAGCATTTTGATTATAAATTCCCAAGTATTTTGCTACTGCACTTTTGGAGCAAAATTAAGTCTGATTTCTGACTGAGTCACTTGCTTTCCCTGGTTCTGTTCTTCTCAGCAGCTAAGGAAAGGGGGTGGGGGAGTTACTATATGATCTTCCAGACTGTTCATGCAGGTCTGGTGAGAGCACCACTGGTATAGAGTATGCAGTTCAGTCCACCTATTATTCCTATTGCCTTGTTATTTTTACATTCTTGTGTGTGTGTGTGTGTGTGTGTGTGTGTGTGTGTGTGTGTGTGTGTGTACCACATGTGTTTACATAACTTGGCACACATTGTCAGGCTTGGCAGCAAGCACCTTTACTTACTGAGCTATCTCACCACCCCTTACATTGTTCTTTTCTCTTCAGCATCCTAACTTTGTATTCTTTTCTCTGAGGTCGATTGGGGTTTTTTGTTTTTTGTTTTGCCACCTTTTCCCCAGCATTTTCTTCTTTCTTGTATTTGTTTTATTAGTTTACCTATCCTTCCTACTGACTAAGCAGGGACTATCACTGTTGGGCTGCTCAGTTTGCACTGACCTTAGTAGGGAGAAATTGCATGCAGTAAATGTAAATTGTCTCGTGTGTGTGTGTGTGTGTGTGTGTGTGTGTGTGTGTGTGTGTGTGTGTGTGTCCTTGCCACCACACAGAATTTCTTTAAACAAAAAATAAAAATTTCAACTACCTCTACTATCTGCTATACAGAGAACAGGAGAAAAGCTAAGAATAGCTCCTGACTTGTTTGCTTAACATTTATTTATTTGTGGGTGGGGAGGTGAGTGACCAGTAAAGAGCCCTTTTTTTCTCACAGAGAACTCAGGGTCAGTTTCCAGCACCCACATGGCAGCTCAATGCATTTATAGCTCCAGTTCTGAAGTCCAGTGCCGTCTTCTGTCTCCTCAGGCACCAAGAACACAAGTGGTACACAGGCATGCATGCAGGCAAAATACATACATGCTCTAAGAATACATACTACATCTTATTAATTTTTATTTTATATGTATGAGGGTCTCACCTGGATGTATGTGTGTATACCACTTTGTGTGCCTAGTGTCTGTGGAGTCAGAAGAAGGGCATTGGCTCTGTGAAGCTGGAGTTATGAACAGTTTGTGCTGTCCTGTTGATACTGGGAACTGGACCTGGGTCTCTAGGAGAGCAGCAAGCACCCTGAACCGCTGAGTGATCTCTTGAGCTCCTCCATTAACTCTTGTTTTATCTAAGAGGTATTTCCTGATAGCCATTTTTCAAGAGATCAGGAAGGAAGGTGTTGAAAGAAACAAAACTTTAGAAGGAGCCTTTGGGGGCTCTTTCATGTGAAGTGAGGAGTTTTGATGATTTGTGGCATTTCAAACACGGACTGCTAGACCTCATTATTCTAATCAAAATACTTAAAGAACAAGAAATTCTCAGAATTCCTATGTATTGCTGTGTAAATTAGCCTTAAAATACTGTTTGAAGACACATGAAAGAAAGTTTAGTGTGAACGACAGAAGAGAACCAGTGTGATAGGATGAAAAACCATCATGCTTGAAGTAAGTAGCTCCTGGGTGTTTCTGCAAATAAAAGTGTTAATTGTAAGTAAGAAGTGGCTTTCAAGAAATAAGACAAGTAGTGTGTATAAACTAACACTTAGGCCAGGTGTGATGGCCTCACGTTTAATCCCAGCACTTGGGAGACAAAGGCGGGTAGATCTCCGAGAGTTTTAGAAAAGCCTAGTCTATATAGAGAGTTCCAGGAAGGCCAGGGCTACATAGAGGGGCCTGGTCTCAGAAAACAAAAATAATAATTATAATAAATAAGTAAAACTCCACTCCAAAAGGCTGTTTGTTTAATACCAGATGGTTTTTTTAGTATTTGAACACTAATGTTACAAATGAATACTTTATTATATCCTGAAAAGTCCCCAAATTTGAATTCTAAGTAATTCTCTTCCTTTGGACTTAAGATATTAAGAATAAGAAGGAAAAGAATGTAGTCTCACTGATGGCTGCACAAAGTAGGCCAATACCCACTTATCCCCTCTACTTTGACAAAAGTTGTGCCCATGCCCATCAATTGTCAAGTGATGGTGTAAGGTTGAACCTCTATGTTTAAAAAGGGTTGCTTGGGACTAAAGCCATGGCTCAACAGTCTAGAGAGCTTGCTGCTGCCGTAGAGGACCCAAGTTCAGTTCCCAGCACCTCCTGTGACCTCAGTTCCAGTGTGTCTGACACCCTCTGATGGCCTACACACACACACACACACACACACACACACACACACACACACACACGTATGTGCACACATAAGAATTTTATTTTAGCATTTCATATTGGGACACGCACACATGGAAACATACAGGGTTTTCTTTTCTTTTCTTTTCTTTTTTTTTTTTTTTTTAACATTTCTAGATTAAAAAGTGGTTTTTAAGCAAGTATAGCCGGGCAGTGGTATTGCATGCCTTTGATCCCAGCACTCAGGAAGCTGAGGCAGATGGATCTCTGTGAGTTCGAGGCCAGCCTGGTCTGTAAAATGAGTTCTAGGACATCCTGTTACACAGAGAAACCCTGTCTCAAAATACCAAAAAATAAAATAAAATTCTAAAATAAAATAAGTATAAAATATATAACAAGAAACACACCACTTCAGTTAATAAAGGAATTCAGCAGCATTTTCTTGTCAGAATGCAATCAAAATATCAGACAACAGGTGCTTGCTGTCAGGTCTAATGACCTGAGTTCTGAATTTTGTCCTTGGGGTGGAAGGAGAGAATCAACTCCCACAAGTTGTCCTCCAACCTCCAAAGGCCACTTGTGTCCTTGCATATTCACCCTTGGATCCCCAGCATAGAAAAGAAGTAAGAACCGTGCCATTTGAAGAAGAGTGGGAGGAGGGAGGAGAAGAAAGGAGTCACAGTGGCCCAGTGGTTAGGAGCACCGACTGCTCTTGCAGAACTCGGATTCACTTCCTAGCACCCACGTCTCAGTTCACAAACATCAGTAACGCCATCCAGTTCCAGGGGACCCAGTGCCCAGTGTTGTCTTCCGACCTCCCCAAGCACCAGGCATATATATGGTGCATATGTATACATCCAGGTAAAGCACTGGAAACATACAATTTTAATTATAGAAAAAGAAAGAAAAATTGTGTATTTTTGATAGGTCCTCATTTTTTTCAGAGTAAATGTTCCCCAGCACAGCACTCTGATTTCATGTTTTAATATGATTTTGTGTCTGTGTGTTTCCAGTATGGAATACTACTCAGCAGAGAAAAACCAAAACTGGAAATGACTTGTTCTTAGACATATATTTTAATTTCTTATCCCCATAAATTGAAATATTTATTTAGTATTTGAAGTATTAAAACTTAGACTATTTAAAACTTCTCATTTGTACTATACCCAAAATTTTGAGATGGAAAAACAAAATTTTATTTAGTCAACACAAGTTTATATACAGCTTTTCAAGGAGAAAATCTATTGGATAACAATAAGTATATATAGATTACATTTCCAAAATGGTTATGTTATTGACATATGTGTCATTCACATATTTAAAAGGCACTCTGCTTTAAAAATAAATTCTATAGCTGGTCATTATACCACTGTAATAATCTACCCGTGTACGTGAGCTTCACTCAGATGTCAGGTAGGTCCTAAACAGAAGTTAGTCGGCTGCTAGTTGTCATATTACGTGTGATGTACCATGAGCAGGAACAAGATGGAGTCATTTCAGGATGGAGGACAGACTAGAAAGCAAGCTGTCACTTTACAGCAGCTCTGGAGGTGGTGGTGGCAGCGAGTCGGTAAGATCCTGATGGAAGTCAGGAGTAGAGAACTCCTGGCACTGAGTCTCATGGTTAGACTCTTGAGTGTTTATAAAATCTACTGCTAACATAGGCAGGTTAGAATCAGAGGGTGGCAGAAATGGCTGTTTGATACTGGAATTAAGATCTTCACATGCTTGATTTAGACTGTCTGGAGATGATTGGAAATTGGTAGAATCATTTGGTAGAGGAGATACAATTACCATTGTGGGCTTGTCAGATAGGTTCCCATCCAGATCAAGAAGGGGCGGTGGCAGGGTCAGATCTGCATCGTCTGAAGAAGACACAGCTGTACCAATTGTTGACCGATCAGCACTGTCTTCTGATACACCATTTATTTGATCTTTTCCACTCTCAGTTTTGAGGTTATTGGTGTCATTGATGTGTTCACTTGATTCAAACAACTTAACTTCTAAATCATCTGCTAACAGTGTGCTTTTGCTTGGTTTCCAAGTCATAAGTGAAACAACTGATGTGCGTTTTGTGGATCCTTCACTCTCTCTAATGTTATCCATACACATGTCTGGTGTTTCTCCATCAGCGAATGGAGACCTACCCGCCCAGTTTTGATCATTTAAAACTGGTTTCCTCAAGTATTTCCACAGTATAATCATGAGTATAGCTACCAACATAGAAATTATTATTGCACCAATTAATATGGCAGCTATTGCATTGGGGTTGGTTTTATGTGCAGTTGTTCCTTTGCCTCTTGTTGGTTCTGAAGTGAATGGTGGTGTGTTCCTTGGTGAGTTGCTAGTCCTAGGTGTATAAATAGTTGGTGTTGGTTTTATGGGTTGATTATGAACAGTCTGTAGTACTGGTTTTCCAGAAGAGGTAGGAGCAGGTGACCGTGGCTGTTGTGTGGAAGTATAGACAAGAGGTCTTGGTGGTTGTCCAGTGGAATTATGGATAGAAGGTGATGTTTGATTTGCCAGAGTGAACCCAGGTAGTGATGTTTGTGAGAAGGAGTTGTTGACTGTTGATATTGCTTGTCTGGTGATGTTATAAGCAAGTGGTCTTGCAGAAGTGTGCAATACTCGTTCTGTAGAAGAGACATAAGCAGCTGGTGTTGGTTGTCCAGGAGTGATTTTGGCAGGCAGTAATTGTTGTCCAGAAGAAATGTTGACTTGTGTTGTTTGACTTAAAACATTCCCTGCTGTGTTTTGAGAATTAGTTGTAACATACATTGATGATGTAAGTAGAGTAGACTGTGTTTGCCGCTCTGTTGTAACTGCTTCTGTCTCTGAGAAAACTGTGTTGTTAAGGTATTGGCATAGCAAAATTAAGATGAAATACTTGGAATCCATTTCAGAATGTTTCCTCCTTACCAGTGAGTTCATAGTGAAAGAATGAAAAAAACAGAGAAAAGGAAAAAAAGACTGTTAGCTAACATCTAATGTTTAATTAGATTAGACTCATCATTATCTGAAATAGAGTGGTTAGGCATTTGGTTAGTATTTACTCTGGTTTATTCTTGACAGAATGTAATGTTCCAGTTCATAGTACAGAATTGGATTCCTGGAAAGTAATCTTAATCCTTTTGTAAACCCCCCACTTAACCTTGTAGCTCCTCTAGCTTCCTTAGATTCCACTCCTTCGTTTCATACCATGTGCTCTCCACTTCGTTCACTCTGTTCCTAGAAAGAAGTGGTTCTGCCTCAGTGGAGAACACTCAGTGACCATGGCGCCTTGAACTATTGTCTGTACTGTCTTTTTTTTAAACCACATTTGACTGATCTTTCAACAACATTTCAGTAGTTCTTGTAACCCAGTCTTCCTTTCGTGTCACTTTAATCATATCTTCTTTTTCTCCTGTCTCCTAAACATAGATAACCATAGTCAGTCTCCCTCTTCCTTTCACTTTTCTTTATTCCTGTTCTATAAGTTTCCACTCTCACCCTTGTGCCATAACTACCAAGCCTGCACATCCAGCCTACAACTCCTTTGTTCTGAGTCTATTTATATAACTTCTTTAGTGGACATTTCATGTGTGTATCTCATAATCAGCAAATTCAGCATATTTTTAAAAAAAGACTTCCCAGCTGGGCCTGGTAGCACACACTTTTAATCCCAGCAGAGGCAGGCAATCTCTGTGAGTTCAAGGCCAGCCTGGTATGTATATAGTGAGTTCCAGGATAGCCAGAGCTACATAGAGAGCCCCTGTCTCAAAAAAATAAAAGTAATTATAGTGAATTGATGTTTCCTCATACTCAGTAAATGAAGAGAGGAACTGACTTGGCCTGAGAGGACTTTGGGAAGGTTTCCCAGACATGTTGAAGGAGATCTAAATCTTAGACTACTATGAGAACCAGTTACACACATCTATTTCCCAGCCCAGAAGGCATGCACAGGCGCAGCAGGGCACAGTAGAGGCTTGGCAGCTGTCTTTTTGTGAGATGCAGTAGGTCTCAGTTGTACACTGCCTGCTTAACCTTGCATGTAAGATCACTTCATTTTTCCTCACACTCTGAAGTGAGCCCTGTGCTGACGTTGTCAGCGCAGAGTATAATGAGCCTGTTCTGGACATCACCAAACACAATGTCAGCTGTCTGAAATAGCAGTGCTGTTCTTAACATTAAGGAAGGAAAATCTCAGACTTTTAGATACTAGTTGGTATATATAAGAAGCTAGTGACTCTGAAGGTATAATCAAAGATTTTGACAATTTGAGTAGTATTTATTTCCTTATCCATCTGCCACTAGTATGGTAGAATGTATAGTAGATGATAAATAGCGCCCTTCTTGGTTTTTCCCTCCCTCCCTCCCTCCCTCCCTCCTTCCCTCCCTCCTTCTCTCCATCTGTTGTTGGTTGTTTTTGTGTTTTAAGACACTGTCTCCCTGTGTTGTCCGAGCTGGCCTTGTACTTGAGATCCTTCTGCCGCAACTTCCTGAGTGCTAGGATCACAAGCTTGAGCCAGAAGGACCTGGGCTTACAAGAAAAATAAGTTTTTTTCTTTGTCTGTCTCTTCCTTTGTATTTTCTCTCTACTGCTTGAAGCCTAAAATTTAAAACAGCAGCTTTTGAATTCCCTTGCCCGGTGCTGATTAATTACTCTTAAAACTTGTGTGATCTGGTTACTGCTTCATGTAAGAATTCAGTTTTTGTCTCGAGAAAACCTTACAACCAAGCTTTAACTTCCTTACATGCTTCCTAAACATTAAATTATGCCAGTTTTCACTGTCTACAAATGTGTTCTTTTTTGCCCAGTCCTATTCCCTGCTGGCTACATGTCTGAACCTGTCTTTTGTTTTGTTTTGGTTGTTTCATTTTGTTTTTCAAGACAGGGTGTCTCTGTAGCCCTGGCTGTCCTGAACTCACTCTGTAGACCAGGCTGGCCTGAACCTATCTTCATCTCGTAGACCTCAATTTAAATTCCCCTTCTTAAACCAAGTTTTCTGTAACTGACCACAGCCACAAATAGCTGTTCCCTGAATCCCCTCTGTTCTTACTGACTTGCTGCTTTCTTAGGATGTACCTCACTCTTGTTTCCCTTTGCCTAAGTAATAGTGAGGTTTTTTTTATTATGTTGTTTCACCTTTTCTATTATTATTATTCCCATCATCTCAAACAAGATTTAAAAAAAAAATCCATAAAGGTAGAAAGAAACAAAGGAAGAAAATACCAGTGTAGAATATGCCATGAATTTGTGATTTATGTACTTCATGTCATTTCATTTTCGCAGAAGCAAATTGGGATGAATTGAGCAGTTTTTCTGGGGTGTGACTGTTAATGACACCTGAGAATTTGTACCCAAGACCATGTGATTCTGAAGCCTCCATTCTTTCTATTCCCCTATTGTCTCATGTTTTCTTATGTTGGTTGCCTATATCATCTACATTAGTTGCTCAGTAAATATTTAATCCATGCAGGGCCTCTTGGTTCTTTGTCATTCTGCATTTATTTATTTATTTATTTATTTATTTATTTATTTATTTATTTATTTATTTATTTACTTATTTACTTACTTGCTTATTTATTTGCTTACTTGTTTGTTTGTTTGTTTATTGTTTTGGTTTTTCAAGACAGGGTCTCTGTAGCTTTGGCTGTCTTGGAACTCACTCTGTAGACCAGGCTGACCTTAAACTCAGAGCTCCGCCTGCCTTTGTCTCCCAAGTGCTGAGATTAAAGGCGTGTGCCACCACCACCTGGCTCACTTTTACTTTTTATTAAGACTTCTACCATAATATAAGCAGAGAAAATAAAGTTTAAGTTAATTCTGGTTTTTATTCCTTTGTCAAGGTTCTTAAAAGGGAAACATTTGAAATTTTTGGCATGGATGTGAGGCTCTGACTCATCTCTAGCTGGTCATCGTTCATGCTGTTCCACGCAGTAATTTTCATAGGTTACCCAAAAAAGGCTTGGTTGGAAAGTGATGTTCAGGGTTTCATTTTGTAAATGTTTTTAGAAAATACTTTCCAACGCATCAGAAGATATAGGCCATGAAGTGTCTCTAGCTAAAAATGTTTCCTCTTTTGTGACTTCGCTTAAAATAAAGAAACCATACAGTTCCTCTTTTTAGTTAGCTGAAAAAGGAAATAGAGGAGGAACTAGCCAAAACAAGAGCATAATTATAAAACCCAGTTCGGTTTGTAAGATCGAAGTTTGATTAGGTTCATCACCTCTGATGTCAGTAGGAAGTTAGAAACTTCAGTGTTAGGTTTCCACTTGTCAGTGGTAGTCAAAGCAAAACCCGGTTTTCAAATATCCCACCACTTTCTCCTGCTCCTCACTTAAATGTGTACCCTCGTAGGACCTGCTGCAGCGGAATACTAGAATCTTTTAGAATCTTACTATAGCAGTTCTGGATACTCTAGAAAAGAAGCGTCAAGACAAAAAGAAGAAAATTGGGATTTAATCATTTCGAGGGGAGGGGGGCTAACTTTTTCAGAGGTGTTAGAAGCCAGTGTTGTTATCTATAATACACAAAGTTATGAAAGTACTTGCCAACTATTTATCGGGTGTATACCTAAAGTGCACACTGTTTCTGCAGAGAAAGATGGTGGCCAGTTGAATTCAGAGCAGGGGATAGAAAAGGGATTAAAAATTTAGAATAAACCGAAAATGGGAATGGAAAAAAAATTTTTAAAGAACACTAAAGAAAAGTTCTACAGAAATTTTACAGCAGATATGTGGGAAAGGATCAGTTGATTAGAAAAAGGAACTGAAGGAAAAGAAATAGTTGGAAATGGTAGTTGCTTATTAATTACCAAGAAGTTGCTGAGGTGGGTAAAATGAAGTTGGGGAAAAATTGACCTGGGTCAAGAGGTTGTTGGGAATTGTCACTCCCTATCACTGGCCTTGTATGTAAGTACAAAGAGTTAACAAGAGGGAGCTGACCCTCCCGGTCATTCCAGGATCCCTTGTCTGCTGCAAGGTCCTTAAGATTTCTTCCTCCCTTTCCATGAGACTACCCAGAGTACGCCTGCTAGCTACAATGAATGTGTGTAGTCTATATAGGGCTTTTCGAAGAAATTCCTTAATCTTCTGCTCAGATTTCTCAACCTTGTTATAGCAATATTTCTCTCTATATTTTAGACTGGCACCTGAGGTTTAAATCTGTCATTTTGGTCCTTTTTTCCCCCAGAAATGTAATTTTTAAAGAGGGAAATGCGCATTGTTTTTGTGAGTCAGTATTTAAGCACAGTTACAATGAAGAAGGAGCTCCCTGGAATTAGGCATGTACTTGTCACATGCTGCCAGGCTGAGAGTGTAGCTCAGGGCTACAGTAATTACCTACCCATGCACAAGACCCTGAATTTGATCCCCAGTACCACAAAAATACCCAAGTAAAATTAATGCTGTTAAGTTGGCTATGATAAGAAATACATCATTTTAATAAGGAATCGACAAACTTTGGAAAATATTCCTTAGGAAAAAAAGGCAAGTGTAGATAGTTGCATCAAAAGTTTTCTCTATGAACTGTGCATGGTGATGCAGGTCTTTAATTCCATTAATTGAGGCAGAGGCAAGTTGATCTCTGAATTTGAGGCCAGCCTGGTCTACTTTGGGAGGTCCAGACCAGCCATAGCTACACAGTGAGACCCTGTCTCAAATAAACAAAATATTGTGTCTTTCAGTTACTTAGATGTCAGGAAGATAAGTTATAGCTGAGTGTGGAGGTGCATACCTTTCATTCTGGGAGGCAGAGGCAGGCAGATCTCTGAATGGGAGGCTAACTAGGTCTCTTGGGGGTTCCAGGCTAGGCAGGAGTGAGACCTGTCCCCAGAAAACACAAACAAAAACAGCAGCAGGAAAAATAAATTATAGTACACATATAAGAGATAAACACACAGTATATTAGTGTTATCTTTAACTAGTGTAATTTTGAAATCATAAAAGGAAAAAGCAAGAAAAAGCAATTGATCTTGAATTCCAAGTAGTATTCTTCTGGTCATCTTTAATCAGATGGCCGTTACTGAACACCCAAAAAATTTCTGGCTAATAGGATCCATTTGCATGACCTAGGTTGTCATATTTTCATCTTCCAGATTAAAGGGGGGGGGGGGGAGTTGGTTAATTGGCAAGCTGTCACGGGTCTAAGCAGTGACACTAATGCAGAACCATGCACCTATGACTTCTGTAACATGCAGAGCCTTTTGTAGAGTTCGGCATGAGAAAGGCTTTGTGCTGGAAAGAGACTCTTTGGAAGTTTCTGGAGCTGTGTAAATAACTTTTAGAGCTAGGTTTACATGAAGGGTAGGAAAAGAAATGCCAGAAGACCCACATGAGTCACGGGGTTGGTGTGAACAGGTTAGGAGTTTTGAATGGTTAACATATAAACTGTCATAATTACAGTTTACTGAGTATTTTGTGGTACTTTTTTTTTTAAAGATTGAGCCTTAAAAGGCATCAGATTTATATTTAGCAAGTTCAAAATTACTCATATATTTCTAAGTAGAATTATGTAGGAACTTGTTGAAAACATAGAAACTATTACTTGAGACTAGCCCTGTTTCATACAAATCTGAGCTTTTAAACTTCTTTTTTTTTCAGCCTATGTAACATACATTGCTTAAAAAAAAATTCAGCTGGGCAGTGGTGGTGCAAGCCTTTGATCCTAGCACTTGGGAGACAGAGCCAGGCAGATCTCTGTGAGTTCCAGGCCAGCCTGGTCTACAGAGCAAGATCCAGGACAGGCACCAAAACTACACAGAGAAGCCTTGTTTCAAAAAAACCAAAACCAAAACCAAAAAAAAAAAAAGAAAGAAAAAAAAATCAAACCAGACTGCTAAAAGGGAAAGCTACATTGATGAAGTGTTGAAATAGAGTCTAACCTCTTCCAAAATGTTTTTCCTTGGGATTACAGATCTATGAACACTGCATGCATTTTATTGATTTGTAATTGCCCATTTATTCAAGGCAAATATCTGTTGTATATATTAACAACTTTTTTTTTGGGGGGGGGGGTTCAAGACAGGGTTTCTCTGTGTAGTTTCGGTGCCTGTCCTGGATTTTGCTCTGTAGACTGGGCTGGCCCCGAATTTACAGAGATCCGCCTGGCTCTGTCTCCCGAGTGCTGGGATTAAAAGTGTGTGCCACCACCGCCCGGCAACAGCTTCTTACAAAATATTTTTTCTGTGGCTGTTTTTGTGTTTTATATTGTTCACTAAAAGGTCAGTTCAGAGTTTGTAGGGTAAGCACATGGATGATGTGAATATTGGCATACCCATTTTATCATAATAGCTTTGCCTTATGGAGCTTTATAAATGATATGTAATAGTTATATGTCATAATTGTTACTTAATATAAAATTCCTTTTGTATAAAAAATACACGATAAATATTCATCTAATTTCTTTTTAAGTTAAGTCAAAATAAAGGTGACCATTCATAGTGTATAAACTAAAAGGGATAAACAAAAATAATTTAGACCAGGTGTGGCGGTGCATGCTTTTAATCCTAGTACTTGTGACATAGAGACAAAAGGATCTCTGAGTTAGAGGCCAGCCTGATCTGCATATAGAATCCTTAACTTTAAAAAAAAAAAGGAAAAAAATAAATTGATTAGATCATTTAAATCTATCTGAGAAGAAAGTCTTTATAGAAAGTAAATGAGACTCTTTTCCCCTTGTGGTACTGGGGATCAAAGCCAGGACACTGCAGATGTAGGACAAGCTCACCACTGACCTCGAGCCCCAGCTCTAGAATTCCTAAACAATATTTTAAAGGCTGTCAATTCACTCGTGGAATTTATTTTATTTTTAACTCTTAGCTTTTTAAAATTATTAAAGTAATGTTAACAAATGTTTTGACTTGAATAAACTTAAAAGGGCTGGTAATACTAAAAACTTGATGAAAATCTTTCAGACAATATCAACCTTGAACATAAATTTTTAAAATTCTTTATAGCAGAGCCACAAAAAACCTCCTGTAGACATCTTTAAGCTGTCAAGAACTGGATTCAACTGTAAAACACTAATGATATTTTGGTTTTTAAAATCAATTTCAGATGAGCAAAAATGAAATGAAACAGCCTTTGTCGGGTGTTCTTACCTGATGGCTCCTTTCGCAGAGTGTGACTCTTGTTCTAGCGGGACATGGTGCTGGTTCAGATTAAAAATGATCCTCTAGCACACTGAAATGGTTTCTGCAGCAGAGGAAGTTTATCAATAGCAGTTACAGGAAGTGCAATAAGCCACAAAATGACTAAGAAATGTACTCCTTCAACAGAGCGGATTTTGAAATGGTCTATATAACTTAAGTGCTTTTAACTGATGTTTGTAAATAAACATTCATTACTCTCCAGTCATATGATTACATAATCTAAATTCTTAGGATAGAGTCCTGCTGAGAAATCATGTATTCTAAGGAGAGCTTTATAGCTACGTGCTCCCCAAAGGGAGATTTTTTATTAGAAGTGAGTGGTGTTTACTTGTATGTATGAGGTTATATGCGTAACCCACAATACTAAAATACCAAAATCAAATTGTTAGAGATTACCTAATTATACTTTGGTTTGTGCTCTGCCTGCACCTTACTTGGGTGTTGCCAACAAGGAGATAGTATTAAAATGCACTGGTTACCATGTGAGGCATCATCTTATCCATTGCTCACAAGGAAACACCACTCACTAGACAGCAGCTCTGTCTTTAGCCCCAATATTCTTTTAAAAAGAAGATCTATTTTCATATATATATGCCACATATGTTTGGATGCCCCCAAAGGCCAGAAAAAGGTGCTGGAGAAGAGGATGCTGGACCTCTTGAAACTGAGCTGCTCTTGGTTGTGAGCTGCCTCCCCTCGGATGGTGACACTGAACTTGGGTCCTCCAGAAGAATAGCAAGCACCCTTTAACTCTTCAGCTAGCGCTCCAGTCTTCCAAAACTTCTTTAAATAAGAAAAGACTAAGCAGAGTGACTTCTGCTGGCCCAGTTAGAACCTGAGGAGACCAGGATGGTGTTGCTCAAGAGTGAGCAGTGCCGGTCATTGGGCAGTGTGCTCATTACCCTGAAGTATGATGGTCACACCAAACCCACTCCACGCAAGAGTTCTGTGGAGGGCCTTGGGCCTGTAGAAAACAAGCATCTGTTGAGAGCCACCGATGGGAAAAGGAAGATCAGCACCGTGGTGAGTTCCAAAGAAGTGAGTGAGCTTCAGATGGCCTGTTGAAACCTCCTGAGAGCTAACATGGATGGGCTGAAGAAGAGGGACAAGAAGAACAAGAGTAAGAAGACCAAGCCACACAGTGACAGCTGTGGCCATTAGCAACAGCTGGAGGGCGGTTTCCTGTGTTTGCTGCTTTTGGCGCCCTCTGATGTAACTGTTTTCATGGAAGGGTGGGTCAAGAGAGAAGGGTTGGCTGACCGTAGGGTAGTTGTGGTAAGAAGCTGTTTGTCTTAGATCTTCACTGTATGACTGAATATTCTTAGATTCCAGCCTTATCGTGTCTAGTCACTGTGCATCATTAACTACATTCACACTAGCTCTTTCTTTGCCTACCCTGTTTCTGACAGTAACTACTAACTCTAGAATGATACAGTTACTCAGTGGGGTCTTTTTTTGGGGGGAGCCTTGTCTTTGAGACTACTGTAATAGAAAATCTGACAGTTTTATTAAAAGTCATATTATTCTGTGGGTGGGCTTTTTACTTGGTTGTATAATTTAAAGAAAAATAATTACATTAAAAAAAAAAGACTAAGCAAAGTAATTGAAGTATGAGTCTCTCTGGATGAAAGTTTCCCTGCGTAAGTTTCTCCTATCTTCTTTTTCATCTGAAAAGTAGAGACTCTAACCCCTAACTTATTGTGGGATTTAGATACATGTAAATGCCTCTCGGTGCATGGTATAGTAGGTCAGTAAATATCAACACACGGGACTCTTTTCCTGGTCACTGCTAAGGAACATGGGTTATTATGATTTAGTTCTTAACTTGAAGAGACTTACAACTTGGTACAGAAAGAATAACAGAGTGTAATAAAAATGTTACAAAGCAATTTTTTTATTTGGGGAGAAAGTTTGTTTATTTCTGAGACAGGGTGTCATCATGTGACCTAGACTGGTCTTGAATTTTCAGTCTCCTTATTTCAGCCCCCACGTGCTGGGGTTACAGGTTTGTGCCACCACCACACCCTGTTGTTACAAAGTTTTTACTGTAGTGTTTGTTTGCTTGTTTGTTTGTTTTCTAGACAGGATTTCTTTATGTACCCCTGGCTGTCCTGGAACTCGAGCTGTAGACTAGACTGGCCTCGAACTCATAGGGGTCTGCCTGTCTCTGCCTCCCCAGTGCTGGCATTAAAGGTGTATGCCACCACCACCTGACTTAATTTGATAATTTTAATTTACTTTTAAATTTTAGGCTAAGATGATAATCATTATATCTAGGAATAGAAAATAAAAATGAGGGCTGGAGAGATGGCTCAGAGGTTAAGAGCACCGACTGTGCTTCCAGAGGTCCTGAGTTCAATTCCCAGCAACCACATGGTGGCTCACAACCATCTGTAATCAGATCTGGCGCCCTCTTCTGTATACATGATAAATAAAAATAAATCTTTAAAAAAAAAAAAAAAAAAAAAAAAGTTTTAAAAAAAAAAAAAGTTTAAAAAAAAAATAAATAAAAATGGTTTAGTTCAAAATTAACTTGGGAAATTTTGAAGCTGTAGACATCGTTAACCACTCTTTTTCATAAACTCCAAATAGGAGTATCATTCTCAGGATATATGCTTAAAAACCAAGTATTGAGTAATAAAGTTTACATATTCCTGTAGTACATAAAAGTATTCTGTTTTGTTTGAAAATATTTGACCAATATGTTTAATATGAAAGTAATTTCTTAGTCAATTTCTTGCCTTTAGAAAAAGGTTGTTTTGTTTTAATTTCCTCTGACAAGTAAGTATTTGTCTATAACAGTTATCTCAAGGAAGATAACTGAGTTATCACTCTACCACTCAACCTCAGATATTTAATTTGCATGAAATGGGAGCTTTGCCCATAGTTGTGTCCAATCTGGGCTGTTTTACTCTTGAAAAGACAACCAGAATCTGGCTTGAGGATGCATGCCTATAATCTCATCACTTGGGAGGTAGAGCAGGAGGCTCAAATGTCTTGGAGATCATTAAACATAGTGACGTTGAGGCCAGCCTGAGTTACAGAATACCCTTCACAAAAACAAAAAACCCTCACTCCACCCACTTACCCCCAAAAGCAAAAGAACTAGAACAAAGAAACAAGAAGAGATAATAAGAGAAATAAATTAATAGTGTACCCTGATCTTTGTGTTTCTCATACTTGACTTTTTCATTTTGTTGACATTTTGATTTATCTGGTGTAATATTATGATTTACTTTTTAGGGGATGAGCTTCTCTTTTTTTTAAGCTAGTAGTAAATTGCTAAGAAAATTGATCTCTTAAGTTAAGAGCACTGGCTGCTCTTCCAGAGGACCAAGTGAATTCCACCACCTACATGGCACCTTACTCCGTAACTCCAGTCCCAGAGAGGATCTGATGCCCTCTTCTTGCCTCTGTGGGCACATGTAGTGCATAGACACACATGTAGTGCATAGACGCACATGTAGAAAACCCATACACCCATACAAAACACTCATACACATTAAGAAAGCAAATAAACTTGATGTCATATGCCCCTCAACATATGGTTTATTTAAAGATGTAGCCTAGTTATTTAAAGTAACAGAACTTGACAAAAGTGAATGTGATAGTCAAGGAGAATACCATCTAAGTAGTTAGGAAAAAATACCCAGTACTTGACTGGGAACTTAGTCCATTGTAACTGTAATCAGAAGTAGGAGATAGGAATTAGGTATTGGTATTACATTTTTAAAATTTGATTCTGGCTGGGCAGTTGTGGCCAGCACTCAGGGGGCAGAGGCAAGCGTATCTCAGTGAGTTCAAGGCCAGCGTGGTCTGCAAATTGAGTTCCAGGACAGCCAGGACTGTTACACAGAGAAACCCTGTCTTGAAATGCCCCCCCCCCCAATTTGATTCTGATATGTAGCCAGGATGAATGATTAATCAAGAGGGACTGGAGGGATGGCTCAGCAGTTAAGGGCACTTGCTGCTCTTACAGAGGACCCAGGTTCTATTCCCAAAACCCATCTGGCAACTCACAACTGTTTGTAACTCCAGTTCCAGGGGATCCGACACCCTTTTCTGTCCTCTAAGGGTACTTACTGCATGCATGTGATGAACAAACATACATGTAGGCAAGACACTCACTTAAAATAAAAAAATCGTCTCTAGATCTTTTTAAAAAGGAGCATACTGCTCTTGCATAGGACCTGGGTTCAGTTCCCAGCACTCACATCAGGTGCTTCATAATTACCTGTAACTCCAACTCCAAAGGGGGATACCTGGATTCTGTGAACAGCTGTGCTCACACATGTACACACACACACAAAATTAAAAATCTATTTATATGTAGCCTTCTGCTGTAGATGTGAATCTCATCTTTTTTAGTTGTTTTGTTTTTCCTATTTTTATAATGTATTTTAGGACAGCGTTAATGCAAGATACACGGTCAGCTTTCATTTATTGTA